GGGCTCGTGCCACATGCCAGAGCCCTCAGCTCAACCCCCATCCTCTGCAGGGATCGGCGTGGGACTCGTCGGCTTTGGCCTCTTCTTCATCCTTTTTGGGATGCTCTTGTACTTTGACTCGGTGCTCCTGGCCTTCGGAAATGTGAGTACCACAGGGCTGGGGCTTCCCGGTCCTGCTGGTGGCTGGTGCTTGGCAGTTGCACCCGAGGGGCTCTCCCAGCCGGGCTGGACACAGGAGCAGATGCTGGTGCTGAAGCAGGAGCCGAGGGCCCATCCGAGCAGAGCTTTTCCCATTTCCTCCTGCTAGATCCTCTTCCTCTCTGGTTTGGTCTTCATCATTGGCTTCAGAAGGACATTCACCTTCTTCTTCCAGAGGCCAAAACTAAAGGGCACCAGCTTCTTCCTGGGAGGGGTCCTCATTGTCCTCATGAGGTGGCCCCTGCTGGGCATGCTGCTGGAGGCCTACGGCTTCATCACCCTCTTCAGGTTTGTTGTCCACTGAGCACCTACTCTTTGTGAGCATTTGCCAAATGAAACCAGACAAGCAGCAGGGTTTCCAGCCTGGCAAAACCCCACCAGAGCAGTCCTGTCTTGGGTCCCCATGGCAGAGCTGGGGAGCGCCCTGTGGCTCCTGCCAACACCCCAGCCCCAGGCTGCCCCCTGCTCCCCGGCACGACCTGACCTGGCACAGGGCTTAACAGAAACTTGTGTTTTGATGCAGGCGTTTTTTCCCAGTGGCTTTTGGATTTTTGGGCTCATTGGGAAACATCCCCCTGCTGAGCAAGGTGAGCAGGGCGCTGGGCGCGGTTTTCACGGATGTGAAGCTCGGGGTTTGCAGTCCTTTGGTGATGTAAATTGGTATCTCCACTGAACTAGGCATCCATGGTCATGAAAGTGCAGGGGAAATTCACCATGGTCTTGCCACAGCTCCTGGAGGATGCACTAAAGTATTTGACTACTTATCAGAAATTGTCACTCTTGCAGCTATTCCAGAAACTTGGAGACACCAGCTCCATGGTGTGACCTTGAAGACAGGCCGCACTGCTAAAGATAGGAGGCAGCAAGTGAGCTCTGGCCCGCCTCTCCCACCCCCGTGTAACCTGCACCCAGGGACCCCTCACGCTGATTGGAGCAGCCTGTGCCCCAAGGACGGTGCCTCACTACCCCACCGGGCTCTCAGCGGTGACCCGCAGCCTGCCAGGAGCAAGCGGGTGGTGAGCGAGGCTCCTGAGCCCAGAAGTTGTGCCAGGTGGGATTGTGTAATGCTTTTTTTTTTTTTTGTCTTCCCCTGATGACTGTTGGATTTAATTAAAATATGTGTTTGAAACCAAATCTGGATCATGTTCCCTTCCCATGGCTCAGGGCCTGCTCCAGCTCCTCTTAGTGCCACCAAAAGGCACTGTGGCCATGGCTGGAGATGGCATGGGGACCTTTCCATGGCTGTGGATGGCGATGGCACAGGGACCTTCCCATGGCCATGGCTGGAGGTGGCATAGCAGGGGGCTGTGGCCACCCACGCCCACAGCCTTCCTGCTCACCAGGTGCTGACTTTTTGAAGGGGACTTAGCTAGCGGGAGGCGAGGGACAGGGCGCCCCGGGAGGTGACTCCTCCGTTGTAGAGCTTTTACACGAGGTGGAAGTAGCCATGCTTGGAGAGCCCTGAACCGTTGTGTACCATGTAGGTGAGGAGGCCTGTGGCAAGGGCGGCTGTTCCCAATGTCCTCTCACCATGGTGGCCCGGCTGGCCCCAGCAGCCCTGCGGGTCATGGAGCTGCAGGCCGGCATGGATATGGGCTGTGGAGAACAGAGCCACCTGGAGAGCAGCGGAAGAGGGCTGGGGAGGTTAGGAAAACACCCATTAAAGCCCATTAACATTTCATGACCTGATCGGAGGAGAGTAAATTACCCTTTTCAAATTCAGTGACCACGAAAAAGCAAATGACATCTGGAGTTATTAATTAATCAAGAGATGCTGCGGGGGGAGGAGTGAAGCAAATACTTGGAGAGAAGAGCACGAAGCTAGAGATACAGTGCTCCCTATCTCCAAGCATTATCGGCCGGGACTTGCTTTTCCTATAGACCCATTCCCAGCTGAAGGATGGGACATGGAAGGAGAGGAGCTTGAATTTGCAGGCTGGGTGCGTAGCAGGTAACACGTGCCCGAGCTTGTGTGAGTGATGTTGGCTGTAGTTGCTGGGACAGCTCTCCCAGGGCTTGGCCAGTGGGAACACCTTGCATGCCCGCTGCCTCTCCTGAAGCCTGACTCCTCCGTGAAGGCAGGCGCGGGGAACCGGGCCGGCTGCCTGCCCACGACCCAGAGGCTCTTTGCGAGGCAGGCAGCACGGGACAAAGCCGGAGGAGGGAAGGAGCAGCAGCACTCAGGGTCGTGCTGAGTGAGCACCACCACCAGCTCCTCAGCTCCTGCACATCTGCATTGCTCCAGAAAGGTCTGCAGAGGGCTGCAGCTTCTCCGCAGAGCAGGATCCGGCCCCATCAACTTGTATTCAAATTTGCACAAGCTAAATGGATATGAACCAGATTTCTACGAGTGCACGGGAAGCTGGGTGCAATCATAAGTTTAATTAAACCAGGGCAGTTACAGCAAAGTTGGTCCCTGTGCAGATACTCTTCTTAAATTGCAAGAATTAATTATTGCATTTGACTTAAACCTGTTCCCTCCTGATTGAAGCACAGCCTAAATAAGCTGGTCGCTGTACCTGTCGGCACCAGGAAGGCATTGCAGTGGTGCCTCCACCGTGGTTCGCTGTTAGTTTGCATCAGGTGGAAGCAGACTTTCCACAGAACGAGCTCCCCAGGAGGCATAAATCACGGCACCCCCCTCAAAAGCAGGGTGTGCTGGTGTGGGGTCCCTAGGAGGTCTGGCTTGCAGGATGCTGCTCTCTCACAGCTGATTTCAAGGGGCTGCAGGTTGCAGGGGAGGCTCTTGAGAGGGAAAGCAGCTGGGAATTTCCTGGCACAAGCTTGGTGGGGTGGGAAGAGAGTAGAGGTGGGTCCAGCCCTGCTGGCATCGTGGTCAATTTTGGTGCTAAAGCTCAGAGCAGCAGGAGAGCCAGGCAGCAGTTTGCAGAGAAGGGATGGGTGAGGAAGCACAAGCTTGTTGTGCAGGTAAGTGGGGGCTGTGGTCTCCCTAAAGCTTACCTGGCGTTCCTGTCTTTGCTTCATGGCAGCTCAGAACTTGTGCTTGGACTGCGTGGTGATTTCCTTCAAGCTTCGTCTTCAGGCAGCCATCAAAAGAAAGAGGAATGGTCCTAACGATGTCACATACATGATAACCTGATACTCCTATTCCCTTCCTGGTCCTTGCGGCAGCTAGTGTGGGTGAGCCAGGGTTGTGTCTCCCCAAGCATTTTAAGACCCTATCACCTTAAAAAAAACAACAAAAAAAAAAAAAGAGTAAGCCTGATGGGAGCATCGAGCTTGGGTAGCAGCAGGGCTTTATTTCTGGATGTGCCAGCCCCTGGCCTGGGTTTCTGAAGCTTATTGTAGGGGAATATTTTCCCTCCGATTCTGAAAATTGCTATGTCAAGGCACCCTGTTGGAGGAGTTTTGGTTTTAAGAAAGCGCTTTGGGCGAAGCCCTGGCTCTGCTGACGTCAATGGCCAAATTCCCCCTGGTGTCGGTATGATCCACGTTCTCCTGTGAGTCCTTCCCAAAAATTGCTTCTATGCTCAAGCTCTTCTGTCGTGTGGAACAAGGATCCTCTCCAGCCCCATATGGTTTTTTTTTTAGCAACAAACTCACAGAACAGAAAAGTAGGTGAAGTGTGTGTGTTGCTGAGTGGAAAAGATAGAAATATATCTACATTTTGTATAATTTTTCAAAGATCTCTCAGGAAAAAAGGCTATTTGGTAAAATTTCCTAATGACCTTGTTTAGGGAGGACTGTTCCAAGTACTTCGTATTCCAAATTTAAGGGTTACATGTGTTCAGATCAAGCCAACGTTACAGGAGCAAACTTTATCTTGCAGGAAAGCATTTGTTTCTCTTTGAAAAGCATTTTTTCCTTGAAATCATTCTTAGCTTGATCGTTTGATTCCTTGAAAGCAGACAGGAAATAAGTTAAGAGTGTGTTGCCTTGTTATTTCCAGATGAGATCTTTATAGGTACATAATCATATGAAATGCCAGCCTTTTCCAGCGAACCACAGCAGGTTTCCAACATTAGCGCACAAATCAGGCAGGGGAAATTGCAGTCTTGCTTGATGGCCTGGTACCTTAAGTCATTGCAAATACTCAGGGCAAGCGTCACTTTTGTTAGCAGAAGGCACGGTCGCTTCAAGGCTGGGTGGGACGAATTAAGCATCCTCCCTGCTGATAAAATGTGCTGGAGATGGTCTGTGTGACTATTGGTTGTTTGTAGCTGCTGAGGGTCTCTGGGACCGGGGGTATCTCGGCTGTGCTCGCGAGCCTCCTGCCCTGCCAGACCCAGCCTGGCTCACTGCGGAGCGACGCCATACGTTCTCTTTCCTTCCTCTGTATCCCCCATTCCTGCACCCTTGGGCACAAGCCCACCTTTGGCTGGTTATTTAAAGCCCTGCGTCAGGTCTTTTCAATTCTGTTCCCATGCACCAGCTGCTGGTCTGTGCTCGCTGCTGGCAGAGGTGCATTAAAAAATGCACTGCAGGGTCTCGAGGAGCCTTCGAGCAGCTGCTCCTGTGGCTGCGGGGACAGGTGAGGAGGGCAGAGGAGACGGGGCCGAGTAAGCACACTGCTCCGGATGGATGTGATAAATGTGCGGTGCTCCAGAGCCTCCCTGGAAGGCAGCAGGGCTCAGCTAAGACCTCCAGATATTTGCACCCAAGGAAGGTGCCCTGTGCTAAGGGGCAACAGCCCCCAGTTCTTCCGCAGCTCTGTGAGGGGCTCGAGTAAGTCTTTTTTCCCTTTTATACCTGTGTTTCCCGCCCAAGGGGCTGTGGCGCAGTCTCCTGTGCAGGGAAGGGCTGTCGCCCTTGGGGGCTGCGAGCCCTGGGGTGCAGAGAGGCAGGTACCGGCGCAGCGCTGCCTTCCCACCCGGTGCCCCCAGCCCTCCACCTTTCCCAGCCCACTCCTGCTCCACCTCTGACCCTGCAAGAGATGAGTGCCCGTCCATCTGTCCCTCCCAGGGGGAGCTGCTCTGCAGGCTCTGCCTTTTCCAGCATCCCTCGGACGTGCCCTGGGCTCTCCCGGAAGCGCCTCCCCCTTCCCCGGGCTAAAGGGGAGCTGGAAATGCCAGAGCCCCACGGTCCCGCGGCCTGGGACCACCTTCCCCGGCTGACGTGGCCCCTCGTCCTTGAAGTCACACCGCAGCCCCTGGCCTCTCCTTTAGGAAACTCGGCTCTGCAAAGTAAACAGAGCCTGTGGGATGCCCTGGGAGGGGATTTATGTCTGGTGGCCGCTCGCCAG